ATGTGTGTTTCTGACAAGACTTTTCCATTGGTACTGAATTTATTCACCATGTGACCTTGACCGTGACCTTAGACCTACATTTGAATTTTAACATTGACCTAAACTATTTCATCTTAAGAGGTATGGCTATAATATTTGTCCCACTTCAGAATGTTGTTGCAATCGGAACCATCCTGTTTCATAAACCTATCTTGTTCCATCATATAACGGACACCTCAATGCTCTATTGAATTCATCTCTCGAAAAAAGGTTCTTTTTGAAATTTCGGGATGTGACATGGAAGTCATGAGGGTTCGGGAGTTATCATCAGTACACCCCATCTGATGTTACGAGGTGAGGTTTTAGGAGTTACTACATTACACTCGTTAAGTTTTGAGGTTCCAGGAATTGTTGGTGGAGTTTTGAGTTGCTACTTTAGTTTTGAAGTTCTTGGAGTTCGGGTTTAAGTTTGAGGCCCCCGTCCGAGAGTTGTTGGTAAAGTTTTGAGGTTTTGGGAGTTCGGGTTTACATTTGAGGCTCTCGTCCGAGAGTTGTTGGTAAAGTTTTGAGGTTCCGGGAGTTGTAAATGCTATATACAAATGTATATAATCTTGGATTGTGTTCAGTACCTAAGTTCACAATGTATTTGTAGCAGTGATATACTATGGAGTTTGATTATATATTAATAAGATTTGTTATTTACGGAACAGTCTCCATATTTGTTATTGCATTTTGTATGGTGTTACACGATTTTTATACAAACGGCATACATCACGTTAATCTCTGCTCCACTAAGGTTTAATCTGAATTAACATTCCACATCTACATACCTCGGACTTGACATACGTGAGATCTAAATCGTGGGTTAGTTCACGTGCCGATATATCAATCTTTAATTTATGTAAATGTATTTCAGAATTATAATTGATTTTGCCGACACACTTTCCGTTTGCTTGATATGTTGTTAAAGATTCTGTAAGAATAAACATCATGCTATATTTATTTGGACAGTTGTATACCACCATACACAATCACGAGGAGCAAAAGGAACACAGATCTGGTTATCACATACACCGCCGAGTGACAGATCAGACGGAGTCTGTGGAAACATCGATATTTGTTTATTGTATCCGTACTGACTATATTGTTTAGGATACAAAAGGTACACGGGAAAAATCATTTATAGTCACGATAATATATTCCTCTTTCAGAAATTGCGTATACTAAGATTCTTGTTCCTAAGACTTGTGTAGTACAGACACTGTAACAGTGATACAGAGGATAGCTTATCCTCAAAGACAGGACGGTGCCAGTATGTAACTAAGTAGAGTAGAATACTCAATAACGGTTATAAATGAGAAGAAATATGTCAATGAGCCAATACATAAAGGGCAATGAACAAAAAATAACAATGAACAAAAACCTATATTTAGCTGTGGTAATAACCGGTACATAAAAGTGAGAATTATTCACATTGACAAGATAAAAGAGCAAGTTAACTTAGATCTGGTAACAAACTTGTCAACGTACAACGTACAATAGAACAGTGTTAAGACACATGAAATATTCTACAGTACCACCGCCAACACACAACAATCAAATCTCGAAGTGGAAAAACAAAACGAAACGAGAAGAACTACTGAATATAACATAACTCAGCATTGGAAGAAAGGAATGTATTCTTCTTATTAACATCATGCCAAGTTGCACGTGCGTGAGGGAAGAACTAAGTATAGGGTAACACACATGAGTTGAATCACCGCTGTCTCATATATTGTTTTCGCCAGAAAAATATAGACATGTTAACAGAATCTTATTTCAAACTCAAGTAAATTTAAGATTAAGAAAAAAAGGGGAGAATAAGACCAAGTTTTATGGTGCGTTCTGCTTTGACGATACCTTCTATGTAAATCCAGGTCGATCCAATTAAGTAATGTCATTCAACATAAACGGGACCACCAGGCATACTAACATTAGACACGCCCAACTTTATATCGCATAGTAGAATGCATGGCTTTCCTAATAGAATTATTGTGACGCCATTAAACTTTTCCAAATCCTGCATTGCACTGCATTCCTCAAAACCATCTCTTGTGCGTTTATCTATCAGCTATCGACGGAAATCTTGATGTTAGGAACAGGTCATAGAATCAACTGTGACATTTTTATACCAGAAGTTTAGAAAGCTGACCTGTTGCTAGGAGGCAGGAATGCTGCTATCTAGAAATGGGCAATTTACAACAAGAAAATCGAAATTATCAGGCTTATAAGACATCAGCGCTCAACCAAGACGAATTTAGCCTCGATACTCAACCAAGACGAGTTTTGACTCGATACTCATCCTAGACGAGGCATATATGTTTGATACTCAACCAAGACCAGTTTAGCCTCGATCTCTCAATCCAGACGGACATATGTTCAATATTCCACCAATATGAATAATGAAACTGAAATACTCGTCAAGGATGGGTAACAAATATGAAAGGTATTATTTAACCAATACGACTATTCGATATGGACCTTACAGAGTGAATGACGCATACCAAACCTCCTATTTCTCTTGTCTCTGTGGGTAGTAGATCACTGATCATTCCTTTCTTCTAATAGAAAACGAGTTTAAACTCTTTTCATACCAAGGTCTGAATACATACACCTATTTTGGCAAGTTGTAGGGAACTTGTTTGCTTCTTTTGTTTAGTTCAACAGTAAAGTTCAATACTAAATGACGAGAAAAAAAGTACGACAACTGAAACTACACTTACCCTGTGTTTGGTAATGTAGCAAAGTAATCAAAGAATGTTCGCAGTCTAGATTTAAACCATTTGCACATTTATACAGTATTTACCTTGCAAGCGTGTTACTTTGAAAGTTTATTAACGAGATCAACATTCAATAACTTAGACGTTCGAGTGTTAAAATGTTCTTTTTGATACAGAGAAAGATTATTTTTTCTTAACAGAATGTTCGTCATATATGTACAAACGGCACAATAAAAAAGGGATATGTGTGTTCATTATTAATCAGAATTCGGACAAATGTGCCCTGGTCAATTGAGCCAGTATTAAGATCGAGTCAGAGCATTAACATAAAACTGCTCCCTTTGTGGATTGCTCTAACATAAATATTTGCTTAAAGGACATATTGTATTTATACCTGAATTAACTAAGAAAGGTATGCCAACCCTGTACGCCTCGAGAGTACCAACACATACCTGCTAATCCCTACAGGTAGGAATTATCAGACTAGTACAGGTAGCTCTAGCCCTCTCATCAATACACATAAACTATTACCAGCCCATTTAGACTTTTAAGAAAACAAACATGTCGTTTTAACTTCCTTTGAAAACATCTGATAGTTGGGTTTAATGAGTAGGCCAAACCAAATGATAATGACCCGCAGTTGTGACGAAGAATCAAATGAAAATAGTCCAGACTATAGAGGAGAGCCAAATGAGATTAGCCACTGCTGACAACGAACAATATTATCATAGACACTGGTGACGAGAAACCAGAGGATTATAGCCAGGACTGCTATGATCGGCCACACACAAAAACACATGATTGAGCCCTGACTTAAACAATAAGACAGTATCCATTCAGGAAGAAGCTAATTACCCCAACATAATTAGGTCTCTGCTAACAGAATTTTAGAATTGCAACTCAAACAGACGACCCAAAAATAATTGTTTCCAAGTAGATCTATATTCTTATACGAAAGGTATTTCGAAATCTTAATTTGGTAGTTAAAGAAGTATTTCATATGTACATATATCTCTTCCCATCCTTAAATGACTTCAGATGTTGATATAACGTTAAACCATACAGGACCATACCAGTCTTTATATTTGTACACAAAAAGCAGACCAACGAAGTGATTTACACAAAGACCCCAACATCTTTAGATTCTTCGTAGTCTTAAATTTTCACTTGATGCTTTCTTGATCGTTTCCATTCGATATACTTACAATAATTGGAAATTAAGGGAATTGACAAGCTGCTCTGTTGTAGCTGCTTACCTCGATTGTTTACAACGTAACAAACAGGGACGTCTTTCCACCAAGCTGTATGACAAGTGTGATGAGTTCGATTTATTTTTTGTGATTTTACCATATCTAGATAGCAAAATACCTGCTTACCCAACCTAGTGATTACATGATAAGTTTAAGGAGAGCGTTACGGTCTTCGTAATGATCTCATTGAGAAATGTTCTGTTTCCTTACATGACATGAAACTAGACGTTATTTATGTTTTTTAATATCGGTGGTACAACGGTTTACTTTGTTCTCGCCTGAGAACGTCACATCACTTACTTGGAATAACCAAGATTTATATGGCGAGTGTCGTTGATGAGGTAGGAGACGCTTACCCTTCCAAAACACATGGTCTTATTGTTATTCTTTATGTATTTTTGTTTGAAGTGTCTCTGGTATAAACATTTTCTATGTTCATATTTGTCAAAAGTGCATACGTTTAGATTCTGTTGACATGTCGATATTTCATATGTTTTTCTCTGATAAGTAAACATCAGAGGTAAGTTTAATGTAAATTATCTGACAAGTATACATCAGAAGTAAGTTGTATGTACATTATCTGACAAGTATACATCAGAAGTAAGTTGTATGTACATTATCTGATAAGTATACATCAGAAGTAAGTTTAATGCACATTATCTGATAAGTATAAAGTGATAAGTCAGAAGTTTCATGTAAATTATTGAGAATGTATCAGAAGTTTGTTTTTAATAGATGTTTATTTCATGTCAAGTAAAAATTTTCGATGCAATAAGATAAATGTAAAGTTAATACATACTCTAGCGATAATAAACAACATCATATATATCTGACAATCATATGCGCTCCTATGTTTGGAACATTCCGGTAAGAAAAACACAACAGAGTCTGTGTAGTTTATGGGGAAATTGATACTGTACCTGGTATAACCTGTTGTCAGATGACAATGTAGTCCTAAACAATAGGTTACATATGTACACGTTTTAAATCGGTTTTAAGATAAAGTACTAACCTGTGTATTCGGCCATAACCATAATCCTCTTCTTCTCTCCCTTCACTTGAATATCTGGCGCCATTTTAACGGTTTTTTGTCCTTATTTAAATAATTTGTTTTTATTATAATTTAGCAGGAGAAATCCAGATCTGCTTTAATAGGTAAAACTTTTCCTTGTAAACGCGTTTTCCATGTACTGTAATTGTTTGCTATGGACTTCTTCTCTAGGAACGCGAGTTCACACACTATGCGTCCCCTTTACTCACACACGCGGGATGCTGCCCCGATATGTCCTGGTAACTAAGGACGCCTCAACATGCTGCGCGTGAGCTTGGTACCGGGTGGATGTCACTTGCAGAGAACTGTGATCCACTGAAGCAGGCCCTACCCTTGACGGCGTGATGTCCGAGAGAGCTAGTCACACCACTTACTTGTAGTGTATAGTCTGTTCAGGATTAACACGCCGTCTGTATGTACGTATATACATTTAAATAGTCACACTCAGTCAATCACCGCTTTCTATTATAACCTTATTAATTCCTGGCAATAGCGGCACAGGACACCACCTGGGTTGTAAGTAGCTGACAGGAAAATAATTTTGTTATTAAAAAAGTGTAATTATATCACAGAAACTCTATAAGTTATATCGAGCTGATCATTACGGCGAAACTAGATAGCTAGTATTATAGAAATAGATATATACAGTCAGTGTCTATATTTAGTATGAAATGTACTGTTAGATCGAAGCCCTATGTGTATTTGACAGGATTTGATACCTTTGTTAGCGGTACCAATCGAGACACAGTGGTATAAACATTGTCCATAACGTCATACACACCGGTGTCACCAAAAGTATCAAACGAATCCGAGAGCGTTACCTGTGAATCTGACCTAAATATTTTAATTGCAAATTTTGTCGCAGCGCAATAAAAGAGAGCAAACTTTAAATGTGCACAAACAATAGCCGTGGATCTTGTAATATCTGTCGCGGGTCTTTGATTGATTATTTGGTGTTCAAACAGGTAACTTTTACTCGGTAAATACGTTATGGGAGACTCGGCAATCAGAGATCGGTGATACTACCGATCCAAAATAATGTTTAAATAACAGTACAGTGGGGTGTAGACAGTTTGTTCAGGACAGGAGGTCTGTCTTGGAATGTGTTAGGTTTCCCAAAGGTTCTGTATGCCGCACCCCGATTTCTCACCATAAAGAAATACGATACATAGAACAGCGTGGTAGGTTTAATACCGATGCTTTGTATTATATAACATTAGTAAAGACGGTAAAGTAAATATTGTAATGTTTTAAACTACACACACAGAAACGGTAAGTGATGTCTCACAAATACTAGTGCTTCTGTATACCTCCTGTGATGAACAAGTAAATTTACTTTAAAAGACAGATACAAAAATACTTTGATTTGAATTAACAGGGAAGCAGGTCGAAGACTCGATTTTAAGTTGTAGTCCACTTAATTAATGGCGATATGTTTTAAAGACGTCATCAGTATCGTTTCGGAAAATGTTCTATTTGTACGATAAGAATTTCGACCGGTTTCATGTCGTTATTATGTCAGTTGGTTTCGTTGTTCTTTCCGTGACTTTGAGAACGTGATATTAACGCTTTTCTTTCCCGAACACATGGTCTTATTCTTTCTCGCACGCATTTTACATTTGTTTTATCTGTTTTGAAGTCAGAAGTACAATCTTGTCAGCATTGTTTTATTTGTTTTTTTATAGAAGTGTTGTAACCCGAAATAACAGGCACAAATGAGTCACACACGGACATGTGAACAGGGACTGTTTCAACAGGGTCAAAGGTTAAAATATACGTAATACTGTATAACCGTGTGGCAAAAAGACAGATTTTTTTTAATTAAATAAAACAAATCAACACTGATATTTAGCTGTGTTAGTGAATGATAAACATCGCGTGCTAATGACCAACTCATAGACCACTCAGGACTGTGGAAGCACGCGACTCCCTCGGGACGTTTGATCTCCGGGGATTATTCGTGATAAAACATCGATATGGCCTTTTATCGGTATCCGTCGGTTATACTACACTGGATTAGACTAAAACTAGTTATTTCCTTATCATAGATTCATGTCCTTATACATTTATTAATAAGTCAATGTTGTCAAAGAGTTTAAAATTCTGATCTATTCTCGATGGAACGACATGAAAAGGGCTATTAAGTACGTTGTAGAACTCATTACTTTTGTACTAGAACGTGAAACATAGAAAGCTGGCAATGGGTGATTGTTGTTGGTACAATGATGTCAAATTGGTTCGTCTCGCCATGGTTAAGCAGAGAGATTTAAAACTTCAGTCCATTAACTATGTTAGTAACATAAAGAGTATAACATGGTTGGCAGCCCTGGGATATATTACAGAACATAATGAGTACTTTTGTTTGGCTGCTGAAAGGAACATGTTTTATCCTTTCAGAATTTGCTTGTTTTCTGAACATCAATAAATATTAGCTCTCTTTCGTGCTCAGAGCAGGTTGCTGTGAATACAACGTACTTTTACGGTATGAGGAAAATCCGATATAATATAAAATTCCTTATAAAAATTTGAAACTTTGTCGTGTAAGTGTATTTCAGTTAACTCTAATTGATAATTCATAACTATAAATGATTGTAATATTTAAATCATTAAACCTTGTCTACAAATTCTCTTTGTGGACGTACATATCACCCCTAACCTCTAATTTATTGTCGTCAACACTCACGATGTGTATATACTTATAATAGAATTATCAGGTTTGTTATGACTTGTTGTGGTGCTACACACTGGACCTACTGGTAGGACGGTAATAAACCCATTATCTTTACAGGAGGTCTGACGGATAGTGTCACTCTCTCATGGAACATTAACTTCAGAAACATGGGTGTCAACGTCAACTAAAAGCTATACTAACGTCTTATATAGACAATGTCAACCAACGTAATGTCCTGTACACATATAGTGAACAGTTAGTTAAACAAGTGTTCGAGATTCCATTCTATATCTGTCGATGTGTAAGGGAATTTCATCATGTCCTCCCTTATAGTTTTCTACAGTATTGTTTTTGCACTTGAATGGGTGTTGAAATCTACTCTTGTCAGAGCTGTATTGACCATGTTACCCAAAACCACCCTAGGTATGGCACAAGAAGCGTTCAAAGAAGGGTATCCAGTTCTGACCAGTTAAACTATCTAAATCTTTCTTTGGTGACGCTAGGTATTCTCTCTCTTTTACTTAAATCTGGCGGAGAACCTCAACCAAAGATGATGATGTAAAACAAATACTTAGCGATATAAACCGTTACTCGGGTTAAACTGATAATTCTTCTCGAAGTTTAAAGGTGAATCTGTGCTTTTGTATAACGAGCAAAAATGTACACACACAAAATTATGGAAATTCACATACTTTCTAGAATTTACCGGCGTCCACTCTGAAAATAGTTTGAAACTGTTATCACTCCAGTCTAAAGCAAAAGGCAGGCTAATCCAAACTCGATAGAGATACACAACGTGTCAGTCTGTTCTGTTGTCTTGGTAGATTGTTTGTTTAGCTTTCCCGCTAGACATAACACTGTTCAACTATTTTCCTCGATATTTAGTTGCAATTGTTTAATGGAAACAAACGATATATTTGTTGTTTTGTAAACTTTTTCAAACGGTGTTTGTCTATGAAGAATATTTGATATATTTGTATATGACTACGGCATCAACTGGAGCTTGGAGTTAGCTGTCAGTATCTACATTATTGAACTGGTTTTATTATATACATCCAAGTATAGCTAATTTAAATTCGAATTGAGAACTGAACACCATATAAACTAAATTATGAATGGAACGTCACTGCACAATTACTTTGTCCTCAAAGGTATCGTCAGTAATACTTAAAAAAACAAATATATTGAGATTTAGAAAGGTAAGTATGAAAATCAACCTGAACAAACGTGAGGAAAAGGTTTTGAAATAAGCGTATACATTTATTTTAATGAACGGGAATCACTCTTCTAAAGATTTTAATATGGTATAAGGGTAGCGGTAAATCACAGAAAAAATCCGTCAACAAAGATTACTGCCCAACTTTATGTAGACAGCACACCAACGGCACATGGATTCACTAATGGGTTAAGTTTGTGTCAAAGTGTAAATGGCCTAAGTATAGAAATCCAGATGGAGATTTATCTAAATAGCTACAAAACAATGTAAAACAATAAACCACTTTTTGAAAATTACCATGTTTATCAGCTGATCAACAACAGACAGATGGAAATCGTTTTATTTCCAGTATAGTTCTCCTTGTTTTACTTTTCATATTATATTCTTGTGTTGTAATATAATGTAATTAATTTTTGTTTTGATATACTGGTTCTTATTTCACCTGCATGATCCTCGTAGAAGAGAGTTTATTTGTTTGTTGAATGCCTTGTTAAACTCGGGCAGCAAGTACCGAGCATTGAATTTTCGTTGTCGTTTGTTTTGTTTAACCTTGTATATCAAAACCACTCCGGCTTACAACGATATCACCTCTATGCTACAAAAAGGATTTTTAGACAATTTGTCCAGTCAGTGATATGAAAGATTGTAGAAACGACACATTAGTGAACATAACATTTTGTTTCGTCCATCTAGGGCATGTCAGTGATGTTAAAAGCCTCACTTTTGAAACCTTGGAAGCAGCTAAAAAAAAGCATAATTATTCGAAAGAAATGTTTATATCTAAACGTGGAGGTGTATAAGCTCTAAAAATGGATACAAAAGACGCAAGTGCATATCTGTATCATGTCTGATGTTAATAACATAGGTTTATCAAAGAATAGCGTGTCTATAAGTAGACTTTTAGCTCGAGATTACAAAGATCATGGAAACTTTCATATATAATGTACTATTAATATAATGTTCAAACTATCAAACATTAAAATGAAGTGAATATCTTCCTTATAATTTAAGTAAACTAGATCTACACCTATATACAAAATAGTATGCGTTCACTGAAAATTTATCATAAAAGTTACAAAGAGTAGACCTACTATTGTATAACTCGCTCATCAAGTTGCTTCCAAGTGGCTTTTCTCGACGTGATATTATTATGTTTTCAATACCGATTGACTTTATTGCCTTAGTCAGTAAATGAAGGGAAAGTATTTAGATTTTTTTAAAGTTGTACTTAATCATTCTGTGGTTCACGGTTTACTTGATATAATGTTTCAAACTCAAATACTTAAAGATAATACGAGAGTGGCATGATAGAAATTTCTGTTTTATTATTAAAATATATTCTACTGACGATGAGGCTACATCTTATACGTGAAACGATGATATAGGAATCACATAAGTTATGTACACAATTACCTTGTTGATCAGTATATGGCACCGTGGTGACCAGTATATATATGGTACCATGGTGACCAGTATATCTATGGTACCATGGTGACCAGTATATATATGGTACCATATTGACCAGTATATGGCACGTAGAAAACGATAAGACTTCTAATACAATGCTAGAGTCTGTTAGTAAGTTATGAAATGGGTTATATATAGTGTTTTGTTAACGGAGGAGAGACAGAAGAGTAGCTTCCCTTGTGAATGGTCCGCACACTCCAAAGACGTTCGCCATGTACGTGGACCGGCGAAGGACAGAATGAGAAGATTGAGGAAAATTATATTACTCATCCACCTGAAACAAAAAACAGGTTCAGATATAACATAAAATTGGCATTCCACTTATTAAAAACATAATACATATTAGTGTCGTTATATATACAGTCATATTATTCTTAACGAAGAGGATATCACCATAACACAAACTCAAGTGTGTAAAAGAGGCAACATGATTTAAACCTGAAAATAAACTTGTATTGGCATTCATAGAACGGTAACATATCTATATCACCTTTTATAACTGTTAACTGCTGTCTATATATCTAGGGGTGTGTCCCCATCCAAGTAAAGAGAGAAAAAATAATAGAAAATAAGCAAATGACGAACAGCAGTTTTACTGTTTGTAACCATAATGTGAAAGTTGTTGTAGCGGTCGCAGTTGTTATGTACAGAGATTTAGCAGTTGTAACGTAGAGAGACTTAGCAATTGATAGACAGGTGCCATGGCCTCTGATAAGTAGGGAAATAACTCTAGTTTATTTTTTAGTCTATCGTAACATACCTGGCATTTATTTTTTCTTCATAAAAGGGCTCCAGTAACCCCCTATTATATCACCGACCTCCTGAATGGGACCGAAGGGAAGCGGCAGGAATGATCCTGTGACATACAATGGACACGTTAAAATGTGTCTTAGACACAGGGTCAGGAAATGATCACTATATTTCTTGATGGCATTTGAATTATTTTTTCATGATATGTGTTTTCATTTCATCGAATGACCACGCGGAAGGTCTTGAAATATTGCTAGAATGTGATAACGGAAAACGAATGTTGGTTCTGTTGGAAACAGAAATCAGGTAAATTCCACTTTTGATTAGTTTTGGAAATGATGAAAATAAAAATTTGCCAATTTGAAATATTTCCATATGCTTTTGTCGGTATGTCTAACGAGTGAAAAATTCCATAATTACATTGACTAATAACAATTTAATTGCGAATTGGCGAAATGCAAATTGAATCACTGTAAACTGTGTTTCTTGTTTCGAGCGGAGGAGAGAGAAGGTGTTGTGACCGTGTGGCTAGGTCGTCATTGTATCGTGATTACAATGTGTATAAGAGATGTTTTATATGATCTCACAGTATATTCTATAGGTTTTGATTTGGTAAAGGATCAGTCAGCGAATGTAAGGATGGAGTGGAGTAATTACCACTACATAATCAATTCTCAAGTAATCATAACACCATTTTAAAAAATTCTATCAATCTATCAATTCCATCTTGCCCCCTGAGAACTACGGCTGGCGTGAATATTTTTTCATAAGGTGCCTGGTGATCTCTAAGAGAGGCTTTCCATTAGTATGTATTGCTTAGACGTGTACAATTCCTCGCTAACCTTTATTTTATTAATATTTTATTATGTTAATCTAATTAAAGTTTATGAGATATCTCAATTAACAGCTTCTGAATTATGCACACAAGGGATTTAATTAATTATTACAAAAAGGAAATCCTTATCTGTTTATCAACATTCTGGTTATGTAAATTTCATATATGATGCGCACAAAACACTGTCTCATGTAAACAAAAGAACGGCTTCCCGCCTGAATCATTTGGCAATTAATGTTACTTGCTTCGTAATTCTGAATTGACTGAGAGTTATCAAAAACAGCTGCTTCATCCCCAACAAAATCTGGTGCTGAAAAACGGGATTTTAATTACTGTGTCACTAATGTCGCTGTCATTTCTGCCCGCCATCATCGTTTTCAAACTATAGCGTGACGTTATCAGCGCTAAATTTAAGATGGGTTTCTCGAACAAAAGATGTGGTCAAGTTGGACATTTGAAATGGACTGTGAATATCGGGATAGCATAGAAATGTAAAAAGAAATGTATAATACATTGAATAACAAAATTAATGTTTTTACTGTGGTGCCCCTTTAAGAAGTATGCCAACATTTTACATTCACCAGTGAAATGAACAGTTAAAAAAGTAAATATCTGACTGAAGACTAGAAATTGGCAAATGTCACGTGAATCCCGTCATGTATCATAAATTAGAAAGTGTAGAATTTATATCATTGCGTTCTTTTGACAAGAACGATTGAATAAAAATTGATGTTTTGAGTTTTAACATTGGAGTGTCACACCTGGATAACTTTATCACATTTGCTTGATGAAGATGACAGCGTGTAGTCACACTGTAGTTGTGATATACAAAATCTACATACGAGAGGCTTTACTTACGATACATTGGAGTGTTTACTGGGTAACAGTACACGGTCTGGCCTGGCTGTGGTTGGTAGGCGGCATTATAGAATGGCCTGTTCCACATTTGCATGTTTCCGCCCCAGGTCGGATTTGTGTTCCATGTTGTACTTCCGGTCCATGTTGGGTTTATTGGAGTGGTGAGGCTCGTTGATGTCGTAAGAGCTAAAACGAACAGTTAAAACGTTCTGAAATCACTGAAAATACCAGGTTCCTATGATATCACTTGTTGGCTCATTATCGTTCCTGCTATCTAAACCTTTGTTTCCAGTCGAGGTTGAACCAATGTTCGTGCTTTTGTTTCGAATATCCCGATGCCTTTGATAAATACCGAAAGATGGAGAAAACTTTCTAAAACGTACTTCTGCATTCATCTAGTGAAAATTAATCGTCAAAGTCTACCGCTGTATGTAATATCTAAGTTCTCGCAAATAAGGACACGATTGAGAATATATAGCTGTATTTGGCGTTCGTTATCAACTATCAAATACATAAAGAGAGAAACGAACGAAATCTATTGATTGAGGTGGTTAGACCAACTTCTTAGCTATGATTCTACAATACGCGCGTTCATATAATAAGCCTAACATCACATTCCTGTGTTATACAGTTCAATTCATGATTCAGCGCATGTGTCTTTTCCTAATTTTGCATTGAAGGGTGATTTCAAATTGTGCGAATTCTTCCAATGCTGTATGTAGGTCTGTAAGACTGTAGGAAAATTGCATTGCTATCAGCATGATCTCATGTTAAAATATTGTATTTCCTTTTGCTATATTGGTACGTACGTGTTGGCACCTGTTATTAAGTGTATTGATTGTGTTCTTGTAATCTCTGTTCTCACACAGAAATTGAAATAAAACAGCAGACCATTATCGTACACCTTGTTTCACACTCTTTCATTCACAGACAGTATACCACTGATAGTTCAATGTGCATAGCAGTGCTCGTCATCTCAGTATCTGATATTTACAAAGATTTGAACACTGTTTATCACATTGTCATCAAACATCATACTGATATACTAGTCACGTCTAATCATACTATAGATTACAACCATACTAATAATGGGATTCTTCCACATTGCTTCTTGTGCTGAGTGTAAACTTTCCTTTCCTGACTAGCAGTACGCCTGCCTCCCCAAGTGTGGTGTATAACACTCTTCGCTGTGAACTGTTGTTTACACAAGCGGCTTTAGCCCATCATACATATCCTTGTTTCCGTTTTTTTTTCATTGTTCAAGAATAATTAAATACCTAACATTCACCAATTTGTTTGAAATATGGAATTATTTATCTGGAATCTTTGGTTCCTAGTACCCTAACAATATGTAGAGTTTTATAATGCATCATGCAGTTTTATGTAATGTACTATACCCATTACTAAATTCATATGTAAACGTGCTATTTAATTTTATAAAATCCAATTAGGACAAAAACTGATTTTGGATTTGAACTATTTGATATGCATATGTAGAAATCATTGTAATTGACGATCATGAAAAATAGCGACTTGTGCCACAAAACACAAAGCTGAATCGATTAAAGAGGGCAAAATTGAAAAAGAAATATCTGCTCAATTATATACATAATAAAACCATATGTTTCCTAAGGGTAAGCGTCTTAGGAATCGTCGATTTAATCATGTACAATTTTGTAACATCAGATTCTAACCATGCATACCAATGGGCATCAAATACATCTAACTGTAGTAGTAGAAAGGAATGAACATTTTCCTAAGGGGACTCTTAAACCCTTCAAAATCGATATATCGGGGACCAAATTTTAATACCGAATCAATACAACACCGAATAGGTTGTGGAAGAAGGTAGAGAAATAAAATTATATAGAAAGAAGATAAATGATAGAAAGCGTCAAATCTTACAATACTTGGATAAAAAGTACTGTTGTACAATGTGACTATGAGTTCTATAAAATAAGTAGCATTACGTAATTGTATTACGTAATTAAGAATCAACAACAGTGGAAACGTAATACAAAATATAACGTTTTATATACTTGTTAGCAGAAAATATAAGGATGAATGTTATTTAATATATTTATTTTATTGGTGACTGTGATACTTCATTACATCTATTGTTTCAAAGAGATGAGTAAAATATTACAGTTAAAGCTATCAACATGTAATAAATATGAAAAAATGAGTTAGTCGAACTATAATGCTATAATGCTTTCCGCAGTTACGAAATTTCCTAATACCATAATCCGTAAGCACAAACATATATCAAAACTTAGTCACAGCGTTAACATATAAATAAACGTGATAACATCAGTTGCATGTATAAAAAAGCAAATCCATCTCATACTTACGTTGGGTTTGTCCATTGGCAGATAATCCTAGCACCAAGACAAGGCCAGTTATACAAAGGAGAGTCTGCTTCATCCTGTGGATGTTCAATACGTTAGCTATGTAATTTGTTTATCGAGAAATTTTAAAGTGATATTTTACAATGCAAGATATTTGAAAGCTTTGATGCATAATTGTTATCTGTGAACTGAGGATAAATTTCATCATTTACAATTTTTGTTTCTCTCTAACATACCTGGTGAACGAACGATGAGGAAACTATGCAGTATGAAAGTGTGCAAGTGATGACTGGAAGGAAAACACTGGTACTCGGTTTATAAACAACCATTTTATACCTTACACAGGAATGTGGTAAATACCTATAAACATGATATTTACATAATTACGGTAAGGGTTGTAAACAGTGTCATTAATCAACAAGACTCAGACCTTCTCTACCCGGCCATCACTCTTACCCGGGGCTCTTGTTGGTTTCCAGCCTCATTACCATTTGCGGTCTGCCAAACTTCCGTATATGACTGGACGGGGAGGGGCATTGAATGGTCAATGATCTTATCAACAGTGTATTAGTGTATTTTTATTAGGACGGAAGTGATTTAGTTAAAAGCAGGTACAGTTTTGTTTTATTTTTTACTGGAGCAGTTCATTGTGGGCATTATTTTTATCGATATATTTATTTCACGAAAAACAAAAAGTTAAAAAAAAAAAAAAATGAAACGGAGATCAATATACAATAAATCTCAAGAAATAAAGTTGTCATCAGTTAATTGCACAACAACAGGAAACCAGTTTGGAGGATGTCATTTCACCAGTGACCCTTATCATAAACTCATTGTTCATCAGTGACTGTAAGCAGCTCTTGAACATCGTTCTCATGATTGCTGAAATGTATTGGTGTTATTATAGTAACAGATCGATCTTTTAACGGTGTTTACAGGTCGCATTTGATCTGAAAGTCAAAGGCCTTTTCCCTATATCAATTTTAAGGTCGTCGGCATGACCTTGTTGGGAAATATTCCATTTCCATGAGTGGCTTTTCAGTATTCCATACCTGGTGAGTATATCCGGTGGTTTGTTTATTGCTATGCGTGTAATATATTGTACAGTCTGAATTTAACTCTCTCTAGACACCCAATACCATACTGAGCAAATTACGTACATTACAATTTCAATAGTATTTTTGTCGGAGTCGACTACTCGTTATACTTTCTAAACAATCAACGTTTGTGTATCTGTTGGCGCAAATAACATGGCCTTTACTACATTTAACTGACAATGTCCGGCTCAATGTTTACTGGAATCAGTAACCTCTTTCTGGAAGCGATGAATAACTACGCCGATAAGTGATTCAACATCACAAACGACGTTAAACATATTTTATGGATAATTTTCATTGTGAAGTAATGTGTTAAGATCTACTTGTTTCTGTTTTGCTCTACACAAACGGTATTGCATTCCTGAAACATGATCAAAATTTGGTTTCATTCATGTTGGACTGTTTGCACAACTGGTTTGAAATGGCTTTTACAGATGTACGTGTCTAACTTCCGGTCATAGACAAACGCTAGTAGAGTTTCGTTGTGGTAATGCGAAGCTAAACGTCATAACCGTTCAATATTCTTGTCCAGTTATCCCTTCACAAGATCGTCTATGTGTGCATCTAATAGTGTTGACAAAGAAACTTATTTTATACATAATTGGGATTCTCAGACGTCAGAAGTGATTTTATACGGTGCTGGTTATATTCTTAACCCGCTTTTATGGAGCTGGAGGACAAATGCAAATTACTAGTATAAGGACAAATCCGTACATAAAAATATTTTATCAGTTTCTTCATATCATCTGTACTCCACTGCATATGTTTTTACTTTATATAAATATGTACAATACATTGTTTTTATGTGTGCTCATATTTACTGGTGTTTCATTAGCCAAATTTGGCTGGATATCAGTATCTGAATGCTTTAAAATTGAAGCATAAATTTCAATTTCGTGTATGATTTTACAGGAATCGCGTTTTAAGACAAATAATTTATATCTTGTGACATCTGGGTTGTTGCCAGATATCACTAAGCATGTTTTCGGATACTCAACAAAACACGATGCATTCTGTAGCGGACTAGCTCATTTTTTCTTTGTTTCACACATTATATACATGTACGACGTCACACCACATATCAATATGTGACGATTTAGCGTAAACACATTAGAAGTTTTATTACAACAAAGAATATGTTATTTGTTTCATTTGAAATAAACCGTTCATGTTTTCATTAAACTGGACGACGATGTTCATTATACTACGTCACAGCGATGTCTTAAAGTCACGATACTGGTCACAATTCCTCTGCTTTGTCGGTTGATGACATAAAGATGATAGCCACATTGTTCCACCAATGGATGTAATGATATTGGCCATAACTTGAAAACTTTGTCGCAACTGAGGAAATGATATTGGCCACAATCTCTACTCTGTGTCGGCTGCTGAGGAAATGATATTGGCCACAATCTCTACTCTGTGTTGGCTGCTGAGGAAATGATATTGGCCACAATCTCTACTCTGTGTTGGCTGCTGAGGAAATGATATTGGCCACAATCTCTACTCTGTGTCGGCTGCTGAGGAAATGATATTGGCCACAATCTCTACTCTGTGTTGGCTGCTGAGGAAATGATATTGGCCACAATCTATACTCTGTTTCGGCTGCTGAGGAAATGATATTGGCCACAATCTCTACTCTGTTTCGGCAACTGAGGAAATGATATTGGCCACAATCTCTACTCTGTGTCGGCTGCTGAGGAAATGATATTGGCCACAATCTCTACTCTATGTCGGCTGCTGAGGGAATTATATTGGACACAATCTCTACTCTGTGTTGGCTGCTGAGGAAATGATATTGGCCACAATCTATACTCTGTGTCGGCTGCTGAGGAAATGATATTGGCCACAATCTCTACTCTGTTTCGGCAACTGAGGAAATGATATTGGCCACAATCTCTACTCTGTGTCGGCTGCTGAGGAAATGATATTGGCCACAATCTCTACTCTATGTCGGCTGCTGAGGGAATGATATTGGACACAATCTCTACTCTGTGTCGGCTGCTGAGGAAATGATATTGGCCACAATCTCTACTCTGTGTCGGCTGCTGAGGAAATGATATTGGCCACAATCTCTACTCTGTGTTGGCTGCTGAGGAAATGATATTGGCCACAATCTCTACTCTGTTTCGGCTGCTGAGGAAATTACATTGGCCACAATCTATACTCTGTTTCGGCTGCTGAGGAAATGATATTGGCCACAATCTCTACTCTGTTTCGGCTGCTGAGGAAATGATATTGGCCACAATCTCTACTCTGTTTCGGCTGCTGAGGAAATTATATTGGCTACAATCTTTACTCTATGTCGGCTGCTGAGGAAATGATATTGGCCACAATCTATACTCTGTTTCGGCTGCTGAGGAAATGATATTGGCCACAATCTCTACTCTGTGTCGGCTGCTGAGGAAATGATATTGGCCACAATCTCTACTTTATGTCGGCTGCTGAGGGAATTATATTGGACACAATCTCTACTCTGTGTCGGCTGCTGAGGAAATGATATTGGCCACAATTTCTACTCTGTGTCGGCTGATGAGGAAATTATATTGATCACAATCTCTACTCTGTGTCGGCTGCTGAGGAAATGATATTGGCCACAATCTCTACTCTGTGCCGACTGCTAAAGTATATATGTAACGATGTTGGCAACCGCTTGTAGGCTGTGCCGGCTGCTGACATAAAAATATGTGTTGGCCACAAAGATATGGCTGTGACGGCTGCTGACGTAACGATATTGTTAGCCACAGTCTGGGCTGTGACGCCTGCTGACGTAACGATATATAGCTACAGAGTCTGGGCTGTGCCTGCTGCTGACATAAAAAAATGTGTTGGCCACAAAGATATGGCTGTGACGGCTGCTGACGTAACGATATTGTTAGCCAAAGTCTTGGCTGTGACGGCTGCTGACGTAACGATATTGTTAGCCACAGTCTTGGATGTGCCGGCTGCTGACGTAACGATACATAGCTACAGAGTCTGGGCTGTGCCAGCTGCTGACGTAACGGTATATAGCCACAGAGTCTGGGCTGTACCTGCTGCTGACGTAACGGTATATAGCAACAGAGTCTGGGCTGTGCCTGCTGCTGACGTAACGGTATATAGCCACAGAGTCTGGGCTGTACCTGCTGCTGACGTAACGGTATATAGCAACAGAGTCTGGGCTGTGACGGCTGCTGATGTAACGGTATAAAGCCACAGTGTCTGGGCTGTGACGGCTGCTGACGTAACGATATATAGCCACAGAGTGTTGGCTGTGCCTGCTGCTGACGTAACGGTATATAGCCAGGGAATCTTGGCTGTGACGGCTGCTGACGTAACGGTATATAGCCACAGAGTCTTGGCTGTGCATGCTGCTGACGTAACGATATATAGCTACAGAGTCTGGGCTGTGCCTGCTGCTGACGTAACGGTATAAAGCCACATTGTCTGGGCTGTGCCTGCTGCTGACGTAACGGTATATAGCCACAGAGTCTTGGCTGTGCCGGCTGCTGACGTAACGGTATCAAGCCACAGAGTCTTGGCTGTGCCTGCTGCTGACGTAACGGTATATAGTCACAGATTCTTGGCTGTGACGGCTGCTTACGTAACGGTATAAAGCCACAGTGTCTTGGCTGTGACGGCTGCTGACGTAACGATATTGTTAGCCACAGTCTTGGCTGTGCCGGCTGCTGACGTAACGATACATAGCTACAGAGTCTGGGCTGTGCCTGCTGCTGACGTAACGGTATAAAGCCACATTGTCTGGGCTGTGCCTGCTGCTGACGTAACGGTATATAGCCACAGAGTCTTGGCTGTGCCTGCTGCTGACGTAACGGTATATAGTCACAGAGTCTTGGCTGTGCCTGCTGCTGACGTAACGGTATATAGTCACAGATTCTTGGCTGTGACGGCTGCTTACGTAACGGTATCAAGCCACAGTGTCCTGGCTGTGACGGCTGCTGACGTAACGATATTGTTAGCCACAGTCTTGGCTGTGCCGGCTGCTGACGTAACGATACATAGCTACAGAGTCTGGGCTGTGCCTGCTGCTGACGTAACGGTATAAAGCCACATTGTCTGGGCTGTGCCTGCTGCTGACGTAACGGTATATAGCCACAGAGTCTTGGCTGTGCCTGCTGCTGACGTAACGGTATATAGTCACAGAGTCTTGGCTGTGCCTGCTGCTGACGTAACGGTATATAGTCACAGATTCTTGGCTGTGACGGCTGCTTACGTAACGGTATCAAGCCACAGTGTCCTGGCTGTGACGGCTGCTGACGTAACGATACATAACTACAGAGTCTGGGCTGTAACGGCTGCTGACGTAAGGATACATCTTGATCACAAACTCTAGGCTTTGCCGGCTGCTGACGTAATGTTTCAGTTCCTCTTGCATAACATTAATCAGCTTACTGACACTAAACCTCTCATCAAATCGATCCCGCATTCTTCAGGCTATAAAACTCCGACACTCATTGACTTAAACTTGTTGCAAAGAAACATCGATGATGTTTTACTATGAAATGAACTGCTGTGACGTGAGTGATACAGAGACAGTTTGGGAAGATTCCTGTAAAATGTTTGTACATATCTGTCTGCAGTCGCCAGTGTATGTCATACATCTTTCATTTTGTACGTGTTGTGCTTACAAAGGCACCATGAACTGTTTTTCACGTTGAAAATAATGAAAAAATAAGTAAAATAAAAAATGAAGACGTGCATACCCACCAATCCCTGGCATACCTGTTTAAATAGGAATAGAAAATAAGTACAGATGTAGAGCCAATCCGATAATTAAAAGTGTTATAATTTGTTCAGTAATGAATTGACAAATCCCCTCTTTAAACGAATATTGATACTACCACTTGTATAGAACGAACAGCCGATCCTCAACAAAACCAACACGAAATTCTAAAATAATCGATGAGAGAAATGACTAACATTTACCCTGTTTTGTAGTGTAATTAGTACGACTAGCTCGCTAGATCAACAGGACAGATTGCCGAAAACGCTCCGGGAATGGACATTTCGTGTCGGCATTCAAACTCCCGCTAGTTACAGGTAAACTAATACCTCAACTATTGACGAGCATCGCTGTGAACACTCAAACCAAGCACAGTCAACTTACAGATCACGTGATCGACATGAATAATGACTTACAAAATCAATTTACATCTCCAGGAAACATGTCACTTATTTTGACATTGGTGTATAAGAGAAGGAATGAAATTGTGACATATATCCATTGAGAGAAGTATTGGTATATCTCGACCAGTCCCCGCTACAAGTTGACTATTTCGGTAGTGTTTATCATCACATCTTGTAACCAATACACATCTCGATACACGATTAACTTTTTTCTATGAATTCCTGGCAAGTGCGCAAATCGGTTATGTCGGGGACAAGGAGAAATTTTCTAATTATTTCTGCAGCAGCAGCTGTGAGATGTTCTATAGTCCATAGGTAGTGGCGTTATTCTGTGACATATTCCGAGAAAGGCCCAGTAGATTTAGAATACTTTGTGACATATTCCGAGAGAGGCCAGGTAGATTTGGAGTACTTTGTGACATATTCCGAAAAAGGCCCAGTAGATTTGGAGTACTTTGTAACATATTCCGAGAGAGGCCCAGTAGATTATGAGTACTTTGTGACATAATCCGAGAGAGGCCAGGTAGATTTGGAGTACTTTGTTATATATTCCGAGAAAGGCCCGGTGGATTTGGAGTACTTTGTGATATATTCCGAAAAAGGCCCGGTGGATTTGGAGAACTTTGTGACATATTCCGAGAAAGGCCCGGTAGATTTGGAGTACTTTGTGACATATTCCGAGAGAGGCCCGGTAGATTGGAGTACTTTCTGACAAAAGGGAACTACTGAAAATTACGGGAGAAAATAAGACATAGTGGAGAACACATGTATCTACAAAGAATAAAGACATTTTTACCAATAAAGCGGAACTATATCACAGGAAATCAATCGTTTGAGGAACTCTTTGTGAGAAGTGAGGATTAGTGAAATTTCAAGTGTTTGATCTTGGCGATTTGGACATATTTCATTAACAAAACGATAGTCATGACAATGCACGAAGATGTTCCAGTAACGAAAACGAGGCTGTCGGAGGAAAGGGCTTTAGTTACAAGTACTGGTGTATATCACAAAATCCGACTGGACAAACCATTTCCGGGGTCAGATGGCAAATTGAAATGGATAATGAACGGCATTTCGGCTAATTCATGGTTCACACCTGTCGGTATCACTGATCGTTTGGAAAGGTCATCTACCCCGTATGGTCCAGTCTCGGATGAAATCCGCATGTGTCTACAGGAACGTGCCCAGAGTGCTGCGTCGTTCCTGGGTCGCCGTCATTTTGAAACTGACAAGCAAGCACTCAAAACAGACGAAATTTTACGTGGGCACAATGTATACTCGAAGTCCGCAAACGATACCACAGAAGAAAAAGGGAGATTATCGGGAAAATGTCAATCCGCTAATCCAAAAGAAATGCGTAGTAGAATACATCTACAACGTCCACAGACATCTTACAGTGTGAGGTCAACGGTCAGTGAGGATACCGATTTTATAAGGCCTCGTATAGAGTCACTGACAATTCAGGAGCGTAAACCTCAGTCAAACAATGCAAAGAAAACGACATGTGTCATGTGTAACCATGCCAACACACACGATATTTGTGACAATGAAAATAACGAGGCTGAATTGGACGGTGTGGCCACTGATGAAGAAAACAAAACAGAGCAAGATGTTGATTTAACAGAAAAGAAATCAAGCAAATGTGATACATCGTTCAAAACTACTGGTGAAATGAAAAAGGCATTTGACAATCGCGTATGTTCTGCTCCTCCTCTTACACGCATGCGCGAAAAGCACTCAGAACGGGTGTTAACGCATAGACCGGAAGTAGACGCTACTCCTCTTTATTGGAAAACACGTACAATCTATCATCGAAAACAACTAGCCGGAACCGATACGGAGGAAGACGAAGGCCGAGTGGAGTTTTTCTCGAAAGGGTCACTTCTGAAACCTTTGATGTATCAAAAGGGGTCGGACTTGAAACACAGCGCCGGATGTCCGTATAAATGTAAAGGATGCTTTCGAGCATGCCTTGTTTCACAAGATTATCTAGATGCGCTGAAACAGAGAACGCTACAACACAACCGGAAGCGACGCTATGTGCGACCGAAATTGTACCATCGGCGGATCATAGAGTTGGCACTGGCCAAAAGTCAGCCCATACACAAAATGATAGAGCGAAGGAATGTTTGGAGTAAATGACAGAGTAGAGAGTAATACAACGTTCTAATATATCATGAATACTGTAGTGGACAGTTTATCGTCATGATTCTGTAAATACTCTCAAACAGGTGAGCATGATGGTGAACAGTTTATCGTCGTGTTTCTGTGAACAATCTCAAACAGGTGAGCATGATAGTGGACAATTTATCGCTATAATATGAGAACATTTTAAATCATCAAAATGACTGAGCAGTTTCTCGTCATACTTCTGTGAATACTCCCGTCATACTTCTGTGAATACTCTCGTCATACTTCTGTGAATACTCTCGTCATACGCATGTGAATACTCTCGTCATACTTCTGTGAATTCTCTGGCACGTCAGTATGATAGTGAACAGTTTATCGTCATACTTCTGTGAATACTCTGGCACGTCAGTATGATAGTGAACAGTTTATCGTCATACTTCTGTGAATACTCTGGCACGTCAATATGATAGTGAACAGTTTATCGTCATACTTCTGTGAATACTCTCGTCATACGTCTGTGAGTACTCTCGTCATACTTCTGTGAATACTCCCGTCATACTTCTGTGAATTCTCTGGCACGTCAGTATGATAGTGAACAGTTTATCGTCATACTTCTGTGAATACTCTCGTCATACGTCTGTGAATACTCTCGTCATACTTCTGTGAATACTCCCGTCATACTTCTGTGAATTCTCTGGCACGTCAGTATGATAGTGAACAGTTTATCGTCATACTTCTGTGAATACTCTCATCATACGTCTGTGAGTACTCTCGTCATACTTCTGTGAATACTCTCGTCATACGCATGTGAATACTCTCGTCATACGTCTGTGAATACTCTCGTCATACTTCTGTGAATACTCTCACACATTATCAGTGTATGGAACAGTTTATCGTCATACTTCTGTGAATCCTCTCGTCATACTGCTGTGAATACTCCCACACACATTATCAGTGTATGGAACAGTTTATCGTCATACTTCTGTAAATACTCTCACACGTCAATATGATAGTAAATAATTTATCGTCATACTTCTGTGAATACTCTCGTCATACTTCTGTGAATACTCCCACACACATTCTCTCATACTCTCATACTTCTGTGAATACTCTTACACATTATCAGTGTATGGAACAGTTTATCGTCATACTTCTGTGAATACTCTCGTCATACTTCTGTGAATCATCTCACATTATCAGTGTATGGAACAGTTTATCGTCATACTTCTGTAAATACTCTCGTCATACTTCTGTGAATCATCTCACACATTAACATGATAGCGAACAGTTTATCGTCATGCGTCTGTGAATACTCTCACACAATAGCATGATAGCGAATAGTTTATCGTCATACTTCTGTGAATACTCTCACACATTAACATGATAGCGAACAGTTTATCGTCATGCGTCTGTGAATACTCTCACACATTAACATGATAGCGAACAGTTTATCGTCATGCGTCTGTGAATACTCTCACACAATAGCATGATAGCGAACAGTTTATCGTCATACTTCTGTGAATACTCTCACACATTAACATGATAGCGAACAGTTTATTGTCATGCGTCTGTGAATACTTCCAAACATCAATATGACTCTGAACATTTTATCGTCATATATTTCTTAATTCTCTCAAACATCGACATGATACTGGTAGGTCATCGCTATTGGGGAATTTATCGTCGTATTTCTATGAATAATTCCAAACACCAACATAATACTGAACATTTATCACCATGTTTCTGTGGATACTCTCAAACACCAACATAATATTGAACGTTTATCACCATGTTTCTGTGGATACTCTCAAACACCAACATAATACTAAACATTTATCACCATGTTTCTGTGGATACTCTCAAACACCAACATAATACTGAACATTTTTTCACCATGTTTCTGTGGATACTCTCAAACACCAACATAATACTGAACATTTATCACCATGTTTCTGTGGATACTCTCAAACACCAACATAATACTAAACATTTATCACCATGTTTCTGTGGATACTCTCAAACACCAACATAATACTGAACATTTTTTCACCATGTTTCTGTGGATACTCTCAAACACCAACATAATACTGAACATTTATCACCATGTTTCTGTGGATACTCTCAAACACCAACATAATACTGAACATTTATCACCATGTTTCTGTGGATACTCTCAAACATCGACATAATACTGAACATTTTATCACCATGTTCTGTGAATAGTCTCGAATATCGACATGATTTCGGACAGTTTATCGTCCTGTTTGTGAATACTCAGCCATGTCAGCATGAAAAGAGCCGGTTTACTATCAACATATCAACATGATAGCGGATGTTTTGTCGCCATGTTTGTGTGAATTCTCTCAATCACCAACGTGATACTGAATAGTCCATCGCTACTGGGTGATACAGCGACATGTTTCTCTGAATACTCTTAAACATGTCATCATGAAAGAAGACAGC